ATTTGGCTATAATGTCCTGGGAGTTTTCATTTTGGGATCTCTTTCAAGTGGTGATTGCTGGATTCTTTCAATTTCTATTTTGCCCTCTTGTTCTAATACATCAGAATGGTTTTCTTTGATAATTTCTTAAAAGATGCTGTCTTAGTCTTTTTTAAAAAATTTTTATCATGGCTTTTAGGTAATCTAATAATTCTTATATTATCTCTCCTGGAACTGTTTTTTAGGTCAGTCATTTTTCCAATGAGAAATTTCACATATTTTTACTTTTTTGATTTTGTTTTATCATATCTTGACATCTCATAGAGTAATTAGTTTCCACTTGTTCAATTCTAATTTTTAAGGAATGATCTTTTATATTTCCTTCCCCATTTGGCCAATTCAATTTTTTAGGTAGCTATTTTCCTTGGTAAAATTTTATGTATCTTTTCCCATGCTATTTACTCTTTTTTCATGATTCTCTTGCATTACTCTCATATCTTTTCCCAATTTTTCTTCTACTTCTCTACTACACTTTTAAAAATCTTTTTTAAGCTCTTCTAAGAATTCTTTTTGGGCCTGAGACCAAATTACAGTTTTCTTTGAGGCTTCACATATAGCCATTTTGATGCTACTGTCTTCTTCTATGTTTATGCCTTGATCCTTCCTATCACCATAGTAACTTTTCTATAGTCAAGCTCTCTCTTTCTCTTTTTTTTTAATTAATTTTTCTGCCTTTTTTTGTGACTTGGTGTTTTTGTTTGTTTGTTTGTTTGTTTGTTTGTTTTTGTTTTTATGTGAGAATTGGGTCTGTTCTTGTACTGTACCAAACTTTTTGTGCTGGGGTTCTGAGTCTTACTGCTGGCTTTCACTGGGCTTCAGGATTTAGCAGCTTGCTTTCTCTGGAAGGTAGGTGTCCCTTCTGGCTTGTACTTGGGGGTGGGGCCTCCCTGTTGGCCTTGCTGGGTATGGGTTTAGGTGCTGGGCTGCTCCAGGGGTGGGGTCTTGCTGCTGGGCTGGTATGTTAACAGTCTGCTGGCTAGCCCTGGAGGAGGGATCTTGTTGCTAATCTGCCTGAGGGGTGGAGCTCTGTTACTGAGTTGCTATGGAAACAGGGTCTCTCTCTCTCTCTCTCTCTCTTCTCTCTCTCTCTCTCTCTCTCTCTCTCTCTCTCTTTCTCTGAGTATGCCCCAGGGGTTAGGTCTTGCTATTGGCCAGCCCCAGGGAGTGCTTCACTACTGCTCAGCAATTGGGTCAAGGTCTAGCTGGTGGCACCTGAGGTTACTCTGGAGGGGCCTTGCTGGGCTGCAGAGACTCCTCACTTGCCTAGGGGGCTGCTGGGTTGCAGGAGGGTAGGACCTCACTGGTGGATTGTCCCAGGCTTAGAGCCTTGCTTCTGGCTCCCTGAGGCTCACAGCTGCTGCTGCTCTTGGACCTTGATCCCTTCCCACCTCAGTAAGACAGACCTTTCCTGCTGGGCTGGGTAAGTTGCTTCCCTGCTCCTTGATCAATTTTGAAGTGGTTTTCTTGTTGTTTGGAGGAGAATTTTAAAGGGCTTCAGAGGGTTTCTTCCTCACTCTGCCATCTTAGCACCAGAAAGTTGTCTAACAATATTCTTAACACAATGAATTATCAAATTAATATTAGGCACTATCTTTATACAGATTACAAATCATATAACTAAGGTAACTTGACTTAAATCACACAGCTAACAAGTTTCCTAATTGATATAGTATAATAATAATAATAATAATAATAATAATAATAATAAAAATTTCACTTCGAATGTGACCAGAGCAAATCCAATTACATATGGATCTATTTTCTAAATCATATCATATAGAACCTCAATTTATAATTTTAAGTATTTTGTATATATTTTATACAAGGACTATTTTATTCAAGGATTTCATTATATTTGCATATATACATGTATATTTTATATATATGTGTGTGTATATATATATATATATATATATATATATATATATATATATATATAAATTTAATAACCCACTGCAAAAGATTTTTAAAGTGACAACATATAGAGATTTTAATGACCATACTTGGGAGCACCTTGCTTGTCAAATTTCTCCTAATTCTCTATTTCATTCTGTATTGCCTTTCAAATCAAGCTACACAATTTTCATTCTCAATCTATCTACTTACATGGAAGTCAAACATGCCCATGCCTTCTTGACATGCTTACACCATTTGAAACTGGCACAGGGGCATCCTGTCCAGAGCCAGGAGAAGCGTGGAGCTGTCACCTCCCTGCTGTGTGCAGAGTGTATCTCCCTCTTTGTCCCCAAACCTTCCTATCTGCCTTCAGTATTTTCCCTCCAGCTTTTATTTCTCTTTCTAGATCTTTTCAGCCCATTACTCAGACTGCACAACTTCCCTTTACCTTCCAACCATATCCCAGAGTGCACGTAATGTTTCAAACCAATGCCTTGCTACAACCTTCCTTTCCCAAGCTATAGAGTTAATTCAAACATACATTGCTGAAATTCTAAAGTGATTACATTTAAAGCTGCTATAGAAAATCCTTGACCAAAGTGTGTTTTAAAAGACAAAAACTTATTTTTATGGTTTTAAACACATTGGTCTGATTGGCGTGGGCAATTTGTTGGGAACAGAATATCATTAGAGAGCTGGGAATTCCCAAATCTGGCTAGATCTTGTTCTTAGTAGTTCATAAGCAAGGGGCAACTAGGTGGTGTAGTGGATAGCGCACTGGCCCTGGAATCAGGAGGACCTGAGTTCAAATGCTGCCTCAGACACATAACACTCACTAGCTGTGTGACCCTGGGCAAGTCACTTGACCCCATTGCCTAGCCAAAAAAAAAAATTCACAAGTGGATTTTTGGGATAAGAAGGAAGCATGAAGTAAACTTACCCATGAGCTGCTGGTTCTTTGAGTTACAACGAAATTCATTTCCACACTCAGCTTCAGTTAGTCAGTAAACAGTTGTTAAATTTCTACTGAATACCTTATCATAGAAAGAGTAGTTACTCAGCCTTTAAAATTGGTGACGTGATCACCTGGAGAAATGGTGGGGCTGGGATCTGATCTCTCCTTCCATTCCTACCCATCCTTTCCTGTTTCCTGTCTCAATAGACATTCTATACCAACCAGGTTATCTGCCATAGAAATGTTTTTAACAAATAGGTAAACTAAAAGGGCTCCAGCCTTACATATAGTTAAGCACTTTTGCATAGCCTACTGTAAAAATGATTGGGATTCTTGCCCTGCTCTTATATTGTTCCCTGAAACTTTTGTACTTCTCCAGTTGGGAGATCAGAAGGTGAGAAAAGTTAGCAAATGTAATAAAAATCACATTAGCCTGATTAGACAAAGGGAAAAGTTTTCATAAATCTTAATTTTAATTTGTTTATCCAAATTCTAGTTAAACAAAGGGAAGAAGTTTTTAGTTCATTTTAATTTAAATTTAGCTTAAATTTCTTCTTGAGGGGCCATGTGGCTTAGGACAGGTAGGAGGCTATCAATTAATCTCTAAACTAAAAATTAAAGGTAATGTGTGCTGGGGCTCTGAGTCTTACTGCTGGCTTTCACTGGGCTTCAGGATTTAGCAGCTTGCTTTCTCTGGAAGCTAGGTGTGCCTTCTGGCTTGTACTTGGGGGTGGGGCCTCCCTGTTGGCCTTGCTGGGTGTGGGGTTAGGTGCTGGGCTGCTCGAGGGAGTGGGGCCTTGCTACTGAGTTGCTATGGAAACAGGCTCTCTGTCTCTCTGTCTCTGTCTCTCTCTCTCTCTCTCTTCTCTCTCTCTCTCTCTCTTCTCCCTCTCTCTCTTTCTCTGTGAGAGACACCAGACACAAGAACAGGGAGGGGCTACATTTTTTGGGGGGGGTTGGGCAATGTGGGTTAAGTGACTTGCCCAGGGTCACACAGCTAGTAAGTGTTATGTGTCTGAGGCCAGATTTGAACTCAGGTCCTCCTGACTCCAGGGCCAGTACTCTGTCCACTGAGCCACCTAGCTGCCCCCGGGGGCTTACATCTTGAGGTCTTCCTTTTAGTTATAAAATAATAAATCTGAATCTGTTATAAAATGAGTCTCATAATTTATAGCAAAATTTATAAGTTCAAAATGTACACCAATTCAAAAGTTATTCCTAAATTGATTCCTACTTCACTTTAATTTGTAAAACTCCCAAGCATACAATTAAAATTTCCAACATTTCCTTACAAGCTAACTTTTCTCTTGTCACTAAGTTTAGCTTTTCTCTTCTCTCTGTAAAACCAGGAACTTTTTTTTTCTGGGGAAAAAAGTTGTTCTTATCTCCCTTGATTCTAAGAGTGTTAAACTAATCCTTACATTCACAAACTAGACCTGTTCAGGGAAGTAAGCGGGAAAGCAGATCTTTTTGAAAGCTCAGAGTTTATCAGAACGGTTAACAATGGTGTGTACAATTACATTGACAAAGATTCTGAAGACAGAGAAACACAAACAGACCCATGGGTTAATGGACAAACAGGAAACATTCAAAGGTGTGTGATGGTGACTTCAGGAAAAGGCTAATTTGATTTCAAATATAGATGACATGACAAAAGGAACACAGAGATGTTTGAGTTTAAACCTTCACTTTGCTGAGGCAGGCATTTGAGAAAGCACACATCAACAAATATAGGGCTGATGACAAGTCACACAGCTAATCATTTCTCAGACTGGATTTTAACTCTGGTTTCCCTGATCCCTGATCTATGCATTTCCTAGTAATATCATGCTTTAATGCCAAATAGCAAATGTAGTTTTACATTAAGCGCTCACTTATCACAATTATCTTGATAGGGGAACACACTTGGACCACATCCTGATTTTCTGCAGGACAGACTTCAATCAAACCAAACACAGATTTAGAATCGCTAATGGTAACATTTAAATCTCAGTTTATCTAAGGGCCATTTCTGTTGTCAAGATATTAGAAGACATCCTGTTTTCTAGAGTAAGGCCCAGCAAGCAAGCTGTGCCCTGAGCTTGGCATACCAACAATCCTTTGTGCTCACCCTCTGCATGATCTGAGTCCCAGCGAAATCCCAGAATTGTTTCATGCCAGCATCAGGTGGTCTCTGAGCTTGGACAAGCACCTGCAGTACCCATGTTCCAGTCACAAAGTCATGCTATGAATCAGACTTGTCACATTGTTGTCAGGGCTACAGCTCACTGTGCAGTCATTGAGTCATATGAGATGTCCCCATAATGCCTCAGGTCCCCCCACTAGGGGCAGGGCTCTGGCACTTGTCCTTGCTTGCAAGCTGTTTTCCTCACTTTGAAATTAATCTTGTGTTTGATTCCTGAACATCCTGTCTCTGGCCTGCTTTGTTTGGCTCTGGCCACCCACAGGTTAGAGACCAGTTCCTGTCTGGTTGATGCTGTTAGTACTTCAAAAAAAGAGAGCCCATTATCATCAATATAAATTCATTTTTAAAGACCAGTTGTGGCAATTCCCAGTTCATTACAACCTTTTCCTCTTTCATTTCAGACTACTCAAAAAGCCAGATCAATTCTCTTTTTTGTCTGTGTGATAGTTCTCACCCTTTTCCATGTGGGCCTGAGGCTTTTTAGATAAGGCTAAGCAGTAGCTTCCCATTCCCATCACAGGAGGTTAGCAATGGCTTCAAGGTGGACCAGCTTTAATTTTTAACTTTCTTCCTTTCTTTTTTTTAATATTTGGCTAAGCAATGGGGTTAAGTGAGGTCACATAGCTAGTAAGTGTTATGTGTCCGAGGCCGGAGTTGAACTTTGAACTCAGGTCCTCCTGAATCCAGGGCCAGTGCTCTATCCACCACGACACTTAGCTGCTCCAGTTTTTAACTTTCATAATGATATAGACATTTGCATCTCAGTTCCTCCCCAAGGCAGCAAGTACATGACAATTTCCAAGGAGGGCAAAGATGAGGTAATATAAAAAACTGCAGATTTGGTATTGCCTTCCATTCAAAGAGATTAATTTTGAGGTTAACAAATTATAATCACCCAGAGTATTGGGCATAGGTCATTAGGATGGGGCTACGATTGTGATTATGGTCGGGGAGATTAGCTTTTATACACGAAGGTTAAAAAATGAGGGACTTTCAAGGTGGCTCCAGGTCGTTTCATCTTTATTTGAAAGGCACACAATTAAAACATTATAGCGTTGGGAAGAAGTGGTATCTGTTGATAAGTGCTCAGGTCATAAAAAGGGGAAGAACGGAGAGGTGGATGAGGACAGGAAAAGATGGAGGAACTTTACAAGATGGTTTGATTACTTTGGTTACTAACACTTTGGTTACTTTTCTACCTACAATTATCAAGGGTTTATTGAGATCACCAGCAAGGGAGTCCCAGCTGCATAGGCAGAGACCCCCTGAAGGAACAAAAGGACAAAGCTTATATAGATTTCAATTTAGGCAGGTGGTAAATTGGGTATGGGGTACCTCTAGATTGCACAGGGACTACTGCTGGGGTTAGTAACAGGAAAGGCTCTTTTTTTAGTTATCCCTTGTATTGTTTAGTTGATTAATTGTGTCTGATTCTTTGTGACCCAATTTGGGATTTTTTTTCTTTTTGACAAACATGCTGGAGTGGTTTGCCATTTCCTTCTCCAGTTCATTTTACAGTTGAGGATACTGAGGGAAACAGAGTCAAATGACTTGCCCAGGGTCACATAACTAGTAAGGGTCTGAGGCCAGATTTGAACTCAGGTGTTCATGACTCTAGGGCTGACAGTCTAACCACTGTAACACCTGCCTGTTATCTCTTGTGACCCTGTACAGATAGGTCTATCCTTCCTGTTTCAGCAGAAAAGAAGATTGCATGGGCGTGGGGTGGGGAATTACACACAAAATAGAATTGCTTTAGTTTTCTTGGCTACCCACAACTGTCAGCCTCTTCCCAGAGTCTTTATTTTTAGCAGCCTGAAGTTGGCCTCTTCCATCTTCCCTGTCAAAGTTGGAAGCCAGAGGAGTCTGAAGCTACTGGGCTCTTTCTTGAAGAGTTCCCAAGAAGGCTGGAACTCTTTTGGTCTCGCAAACTCCACTCTGCTCCTCACACAGGGCAAGAAATTCAGCTCTACCAATAAGGAGAGAGTCCCATACAAATGGACTTTGGGACAGTGGTTAAATTGGAATTGCCCGTATGGAAGCTAACGTCTCCATGGGACATTAAGAAATTTTTTAAAAAGCCAAAAGATGAAAAAAATCAAAGAAAATATGCAATATCTCATAGGAAAAACAACTGACTTGGAAAACAGGTCTAAGAGCTGACTTAAGAATCACTGGAGTTCTTGAAAGCCATGTGGGAAAAAAAAGAATCTAGACATCATATTTCAAGAATCATAAAAGAAAACTCTGGAAATTCTAGAACCAGATGGTAAAGTCACTTCCTGAAAGAAGCCTCCAAGTGAAAATTCCCAGGAAGATTAAAGCCAAAATACAGAGCAACTAGGTCAAGGAAAAAATACTGCAAACAACCAGCAAACATTCATATACTAAGGAACCCACAATCAGGATCATACAAAATTTAGTAGCCACTATAATATCAGTGGAGGGCTTAGAATATTATATTCCAGAAAGTAAAGGATCTAGGCTTATAACTAATAACCTACCCAGCAAAACTGAGTATAATTTTATAAGAAAAAAATGGATTTATAATGAACTAGAGGACTTCCAAGTATTCCTGTAAAGACCAGAGCTGAGTAGAAAATTGAACATACAAACACAGGAGCCAAAGAAGGCATAAAAAGCTAAATATGAATGAAAAGTCATAAAGGACTAAAATTTAAACTCTTTACTTTTTTTTGTGAGGAGATGATACATACAGCCCCCCTACAACTTTGTCAACACCAGGTATCATAAAGAGAGTAATTAGAATCTGAAAAATCTATAGGTGGGGAAAAGAATGCACTAGGAGAAGGAGGAAGGGGGGATGAAGAATGGGGAAAATTATCTCACATAAATGGGATACAAAAAGAGGAGTTTAGACAAGAAGGAGGGGGTAGTGAGGCAGGCAGTGGACAACACTTGAACCTCACTCTTCTCTAAACCGGTTATGGGAGGGAAGAGTACACAGCTGGGTATGGAAATATATCTTACCCAAGAAGGAAACAGGAAGGAAAGAAGTGAGGGAAAAGAGAGGATTCAGAGGGAAGGTAAAATAAGGGCGGCATTGTCAAAAGCAAAATAGACTCTTTTAAAAAGAAGTTTTTAATTATCTACTATCAATTTATTATTATTTTCCACATTGCCATAGTATTCCATGTACCACTTCTCTTCCCCTTCCCAGAGAATCATCTCATATGACAGTATTTTTTTTTGAAAGGAAAAAAAGTGAGTACAACTGATTGATACCCTGAAAAAGTCAGATGCCTCGTTCAAAATCTAACATGTGTGGTTTGTTGTGCACAACTAGTTCACTTGGCTATAGAGCCTACCTAGGGCCTAGGATTTCCCAATCACCTGATGAATCAAGACCAGCTTGATTTTCTATCTCGAATGCGCATTGATGAAGCGGGAGACAAGATGGAAGCAACTCCGTTTATTTTTAGCAAAGCACTTATATAGTAAAATAACAGGAACTCTTTCTCAAGTTACAATGACTATAGCCCATGTTGTGCTCAAGGACAGTGAATGCTCGTCCTGTGCGCTTATCTGACTCCAATCCCAGAATAGACTGCTAATGACCATACAATAACTAGGGGAGTTAAAGATTGTTAAAGATCCATACAATGGAGCATCGAACCAGGTGACCTTTGCTCAAAGATCAGCACTGGAGAGGGGCCTTCACCCATCAGTGAGACCTCTTGAACAGCCTGTGGCCCTCTACACCCTACAGATCTCCAACAGTGACCTCCCACCTCCATGAAGGGGTGGTTTGGAGAGGTGGGATGTATCTTTTCTTCATTCAAGTCTTGTTTGATCTTTCAAATTGTTTTACGTTTATCTTTGATTTTTTTGGTGTGCCATTTTTTCCATTTACATTGTTACGTTTATTGTGTATATTGTTTACTTGGCTCTGCTTAGGTCATTTTATATTTCACTGCTTCATACTTCACTATTTCATAGTTCATATAGATCTTTCTGTGCTTCTCTGTTATTTATCACATCATTTCTTATAGCATAGTAGTATTCAATTACATTCATGTGCCATAATTTGTTTATCCATTCCCCAATTAATGGGCTTCTACTTTGTTTCCAATTTTTAGTTATTGCAAAAAGTTCTGCTATAAATATTTTGGAGTATGGGGGACTTTTCTCTTACTGATGGCTTCCTCATTGTATAACCCCAATAATGGAGTCTCTGGTTCAAAGGGTATGGATATTTTAGTCACTTTATTTTCATGATTCCAAATTGCTTTCCAAAATCGTAGTACAATTTCATAGCTCCACTAACAATGTGTGCCTATCATTCCATCTTCCCTCCTCAACATTTTTGTTACCTGCTATATGGTGCTATAAAGTATAAACAAAAAGTTGGTGTTGAACTTTTGTCTATGGACTGATTCAGAGTACCCTAAATGTCCATATTTAATATATTATTTTTTTCATAGAATCCAGGGGCGGCCTGAGTTCATACTCTTTTAGATAAACAGACAGACAGACAGATAGATAGATAGATAGATAGATAGATAGATAGATAGATAGATAGATAGATAGACATGCAGAGCACACATTAAGGGCTTTCTGTGTCCTAGGTACTCTGCTAAGTGTTGGGGATACAAAAACAAGAAAACCAGATGGTCTCTATTCTCAAGGTGCTTCCATTCTAGCAGGAAAGGGCAAAACATAAAGGATTTCAGGAAGGGGATGTATAAAGGTGGGCTAAAGGAGGGTCAGTCAACCAGTTTGGAGATGCAGCAGAATGGTGGAGGTAGAGCAGAAAGGAGAGTAAGCCAAAATAGAGACTGAGAAGTTGAGCTGAGCCTTCTCAAGATATGACAGCTCCAGATAGGGTCTCACCAATTATCCTCAGCGTAGTGTCATCTTAAGGTGGGGCAAATGGTGTGAATGTCATGTGGAGAGGAAGCAGTATGCACTTGATTAATGTTCACTGAAGTATTATGCAAGGGTTGCATAGGTTGGACTGTGTCAGAGCCAAAAAAACCCCTTTAAATTTGTGCAGAGCTTTCCATAATATCTGGTCTGTAGTTATATACCTTATTCTTGATAAGTGATGTGGTTTTGTTTTCTAGAATTTTTTGGCTAAGTACTATCCTTACTCACTTTGAGAATGTAAATGATTCAGTATTGTTTGCTATATGTACACACTTATG